ACACTTTGATGGAGGTTTCTCCGAATCAGAAAACAGTGCCAAAAATCTACATGAGTTGTAAAGAAACTCTCCTCAACTTTCAATAAAAAATTAATTTTGATGCACATGCTATTCCCTCTACAGAAATGCTATTGCCAAATTACTGTCATATGAACAAGAGATCAAAAGCACACAGCCAAACCTGGGGGGAAAATATTATAGAGGCATGCCAGGGAGTTAATAGAATATTATATTACTTTTATGGGTTTTATAATGTTTATAGTATTTGTTAGCTCTTTAAAATTTGTAAATTGTTGTGCTTTGGTTTCTCATTTAAAATTTTTACTTTTGTTTCCAAGTTTGTATTTTTTTTCTTAAAAAGAACCCACAAAACTGAATAGCTCAAACTCACAAAACTAAGATCTGCCCTAGACAGAACACTCATCTTCAATCCCTTGCCTTCGGTCTAACTGGGGGTCAACCCCACCTAATAAATGTAGAAGGAATGACAGAATTTGAAAACCACTCTTTACAGCTCCCCCTGAAATTGCCAATTCAGACAAGGGTCCTCATTGGCATATACTAAACCATAAGGTAGAAGGTTATTAACAAGTTATCTGCATGATATCCAATTATCACCTCACAGTTAGCTTTCCAATTGCGAAAGGATAGACGTATGTATCCTTACAATGGAGACTACCTTAATTAATCGATTGAACTTGGAATTCCTAGTGGCGGGACAATCAGGCATTATGTCCTTCCTGTCATGATGCAAGAAGATATTACACAGCCTTACGGCATCACGCCTATGAAGTATTCTTGCCAACAGCCCAGTTTAAGCTGAATGTAAAAACATTTGCACCTAACTTCCAGTTCACAGAAATGCAGAGGGGCTAGAGGAAGCAATTATATAACCCTACAAGTAAACACGCAGAGAAATCTAGAACTTGAAACAGTCTACAAAACCTTCACTAGTCTCTTTCACAATTTTTCCATGACAGTTACTTCTCAATGTCCTAGAAAAATATAAAGTAGAAGGACATCTTTAGAGTAAAAGGAACAAAGACATGTCATAAACAAATGTGTGAGCCTTAACCATATCCTAGTCATCTTTTATCTGCACTCCACCCACCCCAACCACCCCCCAAAAAAAACCACAGCAATTACAAAAGACACTTGAAAACTGGTGAATATCGGAATATAAACTAATTATTAGACAACATTGGGGAATTACTGTTGATTTTCTTCAATATGACAATAGTAATGTGGTTATATAAAAGAACAGATTTTTTTAGGAGACGCACGTTGACGTTTTTAAGGATGAAGTTACTCTGATGTTTGCAACTTACTTTCAAATGGGTTAGCAACTTTGCGTTTGAAACTTTTTACAATTAAACTGGAACAAGTAAAAAATGTATTACATCTTTTTTCTCTCAATCTAAGCAAGAAGTTTTTAGTGGAGGCAAAGTAATTATTCTCATCAACCATTAACAATGAAGCAGTACCCAAAGCCTAGGGGCTAATGTTTCAGAACTGCCATATTGTACTAAAAAATCTCCTAGGGTCCAAATGCAGTCATGACCTGCTTAATTTGTGTTTATGAGGAGCCCATGGGAATTTTTAGACTGCTAACTGCCATTCTGGTAGGAAAAGTCAGGTAGGAACAAGAGGTAGGGAACGGACGGAATTGAAGCAAACAAAATTTTGTTTGACTTCTTTTACTCATCTTTAGGAAGAAAAAGATTTCAAGTATGATTCCTTTCAGGGCCATTGCACCCTTCCAGCGACTGATGTCATAAAAAAAATGTTAAATCCTTTTATAACTTATAAAGACTTTCGCATAGATTATCTCTCTGACTGCTTAAAACAGACTTAGGAAACAGAGAAAGCAAGTAATATTCCCAATGGACAGATGAGGAAAATGAGGCTCAGAGAGGCCACATGATTCACCTGAGGTCGCACAGCTAGTTATGTCGGCCCGGGTCATTCACACATGACCACTGTCCTCTAGCACGGTCACTGAGTGGCTGTCTTACAAGGGGTAACGTTTGTTTCTCTGGAGCTTCAGTGTTTGGACTAAACAGCCTCAGGCTCATCATGAGAAACTGCAGAGGTTAGAGGTAACGCTTGGCATCAGACCCCCTTTCTTCCATTGACAGAAGGTGGAGGGGGTGGCAGGTGGGAAGGGGCAAGAGCCCAGTCTACAAGGAGGCAACCTCCTCAAGGAGTCTGCACACTTCCCTGCTGTGTCACCTCCAGAGCAGGGACACTTCTTCAAACACAGTCACCTAGCAGGGTCCCAGGCCACGCAAGGAAATGAAAAGACCATGTGAGGCAAAGCAGTCATGGAAACAAGGTACAAGCAAGTACTGTGAAAAGCAAAGGCACCAGCAAACGAGTGCTATTACTTCAATCCGCTGGTCAAGCCCAACCCCTCACAGTGCCTAATGGCTGGGTGTTTGGAGTGGCTTCCCTCCATAACACGCTGTAACTGGGGGAAATTACTAATTCCATGGCTTTCATAAAACACAGAGGTCCACCAAATGTTTGCTTGGCAGATTTTTTTTTCTCCCCAGAGGGCAGCTCATTAAGTCTGACAATAAAGCAGGCTTTGTTCTAAAGATTTACAGTGTTTTCCCAGTGCAAATTCTAATTGACAACCACTAGGAGAATAACAATGTAGAGCCAAGAGAGCTCTGGTTTCTTCCATTCTTCCAAGATCCATCTCAAAGAAGCACTCGCTTCTTAGTTTCCTGGACCAGTGTTTAGCTGGGTCTTTATTTAGACACCGGCATAAGCAGATGCTTGGGCATCAGAAGTAAGTTTATCATTCAAAGTAGTCAAATCTTAAAAACCAAAAAGATTTATTCTTTCCAGCTTCAAAGATAGGAAAATCTCATCTAATTCCCAGGCTCAGAATATTGGGTCCCTCCGTGCAGAATAAGCATGTTACCTAAAAATGGAACCATGCCTTTTCCATGGAAAGGGAGGGGGGGCCCTAAAAAAAAAATAAAGTGCATGATGATTGAGAAGTCTTCAGAAATGGTTGCATGAGAATATTAAAGGCACTGCTATTCAGTGGATCCATCATAGAATAAAAGTTCAAGTATCAGAGGGAGTAATTTCAATATGAATGTTGGGTGTTGTGGTCACAAACAACAGTCTCTCCTCCACACAGAGGACCAAGTCACATCAAGCAAGTCAGGGAGCTGTGAGTGACAAGGTATAGAGCGAGCGGGCTGTTCAGATAAGGGACAGACATTACTGGGCCCTTTTTCAAAGAAAACTTTGAAGATTTTGTTAGGCTTTCTTCATGGAACTGTCACGAGGTAACAATACAGTTGCAAATGAATGGTGCTCAGTGGTCACATCGCTGCCTTTTACGGACCAGCTGGCAATGGTTGCCCACGATGGAAAATTAGCATGAAAGAAGGAACTTCAGGTTACGGGGCTGACGCACAGCCCACAGAGAAAATTCCCAGATAAAGTACAACACCCAACACGGCCACACGAACCAAAAGCAAAATAAGACCCCTGTCTGAAACGAAAAGGAGAGAAAAAAAACTCCTCCTCACTTCTTCCTGAATTTCCCCCTTCTCCAAACAGCATCCAGGTCCCCATGGTAAAAATAAGCAAAAAAACCCCATGGGCTTCCAATAGCATATATAGATGAAGAGAAGTGAAACTGGTAGAAGATGTGGGAGAATAACACAATTCACCCTCTTTTTTCCTTTTTTTTTTTTTTTTAAGTTTCTTTATGTATTTTGAGAGAGAGGGACAGAGCTGGAGTGGGAGAGGGGCAGAGAGAGAGAATCTCAAGCAAGCTCCACACTGTCTCACAAAATGTGAGTTCAAGACCCGAGCCGAAACCAAGAGTCAGATGCTTAACTGACTGAGCCACCCAGGTGCCCCTCACCCTCCTTTTTCTAAGCAAAAACAGGGAAAGGAACCAAAGTGGGAACGCGCAGCACCCCAGGCAGGATCACCAGACCAGGAGTCGGGAGGTCCTAACTCTTATTATGCTAGTGTCTACCATGAGCTGTTTTAAAAAGCACCTTAACCTCCTGACTTTTCTTGTCCTCATCTGAAAAGGAAAGGATGCATCTTAATCAGCGGTTCTTAAACTGTATTCCTTGGAGCCCTCAGGTGCTATGGAGGTACCTCTAAGGCAACCACAGCAACACGGGGGTACAGCAAAAGGAATGGGGCCCCGTGCTTCCTCTCAACCCTAAACCATTCACAGTTGATCCATTTTATATACTGAGTAAAGTTGTGAGTAAAGTCTTTCGTTTAAAGAGTTCTAGTACCAAGAAGTTGTGAGTAAGGACTATTTGTTTTGTTTTGTTTTAAGAGTTCTATTACCGGGGCACCTGGGTGGCGCAGTCGGTTAAGCGTCCAACTTCAGCCAGGTCATGATCTTGCGGTCCGGGAGTTCGAGCCCCGTGTCAGGCTCTGGGCTGATGGCTCAGAGCCTGGAGCCTGTTTCCGATTCTGTGTCTCCCTCTCTCTCTGCCCCTCCCCCGTTCATGCTCTGTCTCTCTCTGTCCCCAAAATAAATAAACGTTGAAAAAAAAAAAGATTAAAAAAAAAAAAAAAGAGTTCTATTACCAAGGCACTTCACAAGAAAAATGGCTTAACACGTCTTGTGGACCAACTGAACCAACACATCTTGTGATTTTTATCTTTATAATTATGTGGTCTCTATGTGCCTTTTTGCATTACTATTAGAATCAATGCACATTAATGTTGATCCTTCCAATCTGTATATCAGGTTCTCTTATTCTTACTTCCAGAGCAAGGAAACTGAAACTCAGATAGGACAAGTTCACCAAAAGTCACAGGACTCATAGTGGACAGGACTCAAACTCAGGAATGTCTGATGTGAAATGAGTCAGCTCAACGCTGCCCTTAAAGAATCAACTTTGCTGTAAAGAAACCACTGGTTACCTCATTATTATTGTAATTCTTTCTCCATGGAACATCAGGTTCTTCATTTGTATATTCTGAGAATAAACACTTACCCTGGCGAGATGAAATGAATAGCCACAAGTTCTGCCCAACAAGCAAATCTGTTGGGTACAGGAAAGCCCAAAACGTTGGCAAAGCCTCCAGGGCAATAATGGTTGTTAAGAACTTTCAAAGCAAACAAAACTCCTAGAAGAGAATAAAGAGCATACAAATATCAACAATCCAAATGTGGAGACAATCAACATTTACAAAGAAAATGAACTGAATGTAAAAATGATTATTTGACTATATCCAACTTCTTGCTTTGAAACACACTCTATTCTTTACAAGTCAACCCAGCTTTTGGTAGAAAGACAACGTTCAAAATGTTCAAGGCAATTGTTCTTCTGATGTTTCCTAACACAGAAGGTCGTGGTGACTTTCAGCATGCTAGAAAATATATAACGCATAAAATGGGAATAAAATACTTGAAATGGTACTAAATGCCACTGAATTGTTCACTTCAGAATCGTTAATTTTAAGCTATGTGATTTTTCAACTCAATAAAAAAAAATAGCAGTAATGTGTATATCTGGAACCTCTATGGAAAGATGTGTTGAGGGCAGGACATGTTTCCTTTCTTCTCCCACAACTGGTTGCATGAGGATGTATCTTAGAGGGAAGGGGGATGGATGGCAGGGAGGGTAGAGAAAAGAGTTAGATTTCCTTCTGTTGCAGGACTCTTTCCCTCCTCCCCTTCACATTCTAATTCTTAGAACACCTACTTTAAGCCCCAATGGCAATTTCAGTCCTATGAGATACATATAGAGTGACTATCATAGTTGTTAAAACATGGCACGCATGTCATGGTAGGGTGTGGTGCATTTTAATGAAGTCATTGAGAGGCATACTCAATGTTTGAGAGAACTCCTTATCACAGGTACACCAGCGAGTCTCTCCTTGGCCCCACCATGATGGAGCAAGTACATGTTTCTAGAACTACATCTCCTAACAAAACTACCTTTGAGCAGACCCTGGTCCAAACACATTGTCCAAGAGTGAATGAGGCAGTTAATCAGTGAATGATTAACATAGATTAATAGCAAGATCTATGTCCCTCCTGTGCTCCAATCATCCTTCTCTCCCAAATCCAAGCCCCGGCAATCTTTAGCCACTCAGAATTCAGTTCCCTCGCCAAATAGGGACCCACATTTCATAAAATGGCAACAGCCACACCTCTCTGTCTTCATGCACGCTACTTTAGAAATCTATCTGCCTTACCTGAGAAACCTACAGCACAGTTCCTTCTGAAGACAGGTTCATTCATAAATTCTGCAAGAGCAAATTCCAACAACAGGTACACCACCCCGGTGAGTAGCGAGAATGTGACGATGACATAGGCAAACCATTTACTTCCCAGTCTCCTTTCCAGATTGATTCCTTTCCATAGCATGGATGCCATATTGAAATACAAATGCCAATCGTCTGCATGGTGAAAAGGAGAAAGCAGTAGGCGCTGCCAGTCTTTCTGCTGGTAACACGTCTCCACACTAAGGCAGGAGCCCAACAGTGGCTTCAGAGGACTCAAGAAGAACCAGATGTTGACAGCCAAAGTTGCTAGGGTGACAGGTGGAATATTGTTGACCCCAACATGGAAGATTTGAGAAAGGAGCAGAATAAGTCCAGTATTAATTCCTCTTGATCTCCGCTGCATGGTTAGATATCAACCCAGTGATGGGAAAATGTGGTCAGGTTTTAGGCATCTGGGAAGATATACAGGGAGCTGAACCTAAAACATAAAATAAAATGCACATGAAAATCCACTAATTAAGACTTAATGCACCAATAAGACATACTCATTTGAAGATGAGCTTACGTTATATATACATATACGTACATATGTATATATATATATGTATATGTATAAATATACATATATGTGTGTGTGTATATATATATATATACACATATATATACATATATATATATGCATATATATCTCACACCTCCTGTCTGACAGAAACATTTATTATCAATGTCTTCCAGACCAACATCCAGGATGCTAGCTGATGTCCTCCCTCATCTTACATTCTAAAACAGAACATTTCACCCAAATCCCAATGGACCAGTTAATGGATGGGTATGCTTTCTGTGACAAATATGCCATGAAAATATGACTTGTCTTCCTTATAAATAAACTTGCAACCTAATAAAAAAAATCCTAAAAGATAGTATGTAAATATTTAATAACGATTTCTACTCAGAATGCTGAGCAAGATTCTTTACCACCTTAATTTTTTTAAAGAAATATTCAATTTTGATATATTCAATAAAGTCTGCCCAAAAGTTTTTATTTTTTATTTATTTACTTATTTATTTATTTAGCCCCAAAGTTTTTAAACTTCCACTGGCAGGTTTTAAAATGCAATCATTTACTATCCCCTACTCCATATTGTCAGTTATCAACTGCTAGGATGCTTTATCTTCACAAAAACTTCTGCTTTTTTAAAGTTTCTTGCTATGTGCCAAATCCTAGATTCAAATGGTCACTGTCTTTAAAGAGGTCACCTTCTACTAAGAAGTAAGCCAACAATTGCCATACTATATTTTAAGCTCAGTGACAGAGGAAGCCCAAACTCGAGGTGGTAACAGGACTGTGGTCTTAATGGAGTAAAACAGAGGTAGCAACAAGACAGAGCACCAAGTTCAGCACTACGTCTCCACCCCCTGAACCTGGGCTGGCCTTGTGACTTCCTCTGGCTGGTAGATCGCAAACAAAAGGACACTAATTCTGAATGTAGCCCTCGAGATGACTGACAGGCTTCTGCTTTCTCTTGAACCCCCCTGAAGCAACCAAGTGGCCAAGTCTGGGCTAGCCTGCTGGATGAGGGAAGACACAAGCTCCAGGCACCCTTATGGCCCTGACCACTAGCCAGCTAATGCCCCTGAAGCAAAGCTGTCTAGCTGACCAGCAGCTGACCACAGACAAGACATGAATCCAGCACAGCCCGGCCTAATTTGCTGACCCACAGAACAATGAGCTAAATAAATCATACTGTAACTTCACCAAGTGTTAGACTGGTATGTTACATAGCAATTACTCACCAATACTGAAGGGATTTCCTTTGGTGAGGGACTAGCTTAGGCTTAAGGGAAGAAGTTAGTAAAGAAAGAGCCACAGACTAAAGACGCAAAAGATAAGAACTTAAGTCCTTGGAGGGAATAGCCTCGTCCATCATAACAGGAAGAAAGAAGAAAAATGTCAGTTGCAGATAAGGGTAAATAGGCAGGTTGGGGCCAGGATGCTGCAAAAGTTCTCATCTAGTGGTTTTTACTCTATGGAGGTTCTTGGGCTCCCAACCAAATACATGACTTACTCTGATACCCTAAAGATTCTCATTCAGACAGAACGTTGGAAGGTACATGGGCTTCGGGCTAAAAACGGGTACAATTCTACTTTATAAGCTTTGTGACCTAGAGCAAATTACTTTAAAACTCTCTGAACTTTACTTTCTTCACTTTAAATTAGGAATGATAATACCTCCCTCCCAGGATTACTGTAATACCTCTGGAAAGCAGCAGATGTCGAATACACAGTAGACACATTTTTTTAAAAAAAAATTTTTTTTTTCAACGTTTATTTATTTTTGGGACAGAGAGAGACAGAGCATGAACTGGGGAGGGGCAGAGAGAGAGGGAGACACAGAATCGGAAACAGGCTCCAGGCTCTGAGCCATCAGCCCAGAGCCTGACGCGGGGCTCGAACTCACGGACCGCGAGATGGTGACCGGGCTGAGGTCGGACGCTTAACCGACTGCGCCACCCAGGCGCCCCAATTACTGTAGCATCTTAATAAGGTGCAAATGTACTCCCTATCCTCCTCCCACATGGATTCTAGGAAATGACCCAGAAAAAATTACGCTTGTGTGCATGCATGTGTGTATGTGTATACCCGCATTATTAGCACAACCCAAGGTTCTTTATTGCTATGGGCTTATTAACATAGTTCAATACCATTCTCATGAACTACAGAACTTAATAAAATTTCAACTGAAGATCAGCTCCTGGGTTATTTTAGAGAAACAGTCTATATTTTTCACATTGACATTCAAGTCGACTTTCAAATCTCCAACTACTGTGACTTTTTTTTGCAACTTTCCCTAAATAATTTTAATATCAAACCTCAATACCTATAAAAGGAGCAATGGAAAAATACAGCCTTAAACATTAAGTAATCGGCTTATAAGAAATCACAAAACGAACCCTTCAATCTCAATATAAAGAGTGCCCTGTGATGCCAGGTTGTGCACAGGAGGAAATCAAAACTAATTATGTCTTTGCTTAAGAAAAATTCCCCCTTGGGGCGCCTGGGTGGCTCAGTTGGTTAGGCATCCAACTTTGACTCAGGTTATGATCTCATGGTTCATGAGTTCGAGCCCTGCATCAGGCTCTCTGCTGTCAGCACCAGGCCCACTGTGGATCCTCTGTCCCCCCTTCTCTCTCTGCCCCTCCCCTGCTCTCTTTCTCTCAGTCAAAAAAAAAATTAATAAAAGTATAAAAAATAAAAATAAAATAAAGAATATTAGAAAAATAAAAATAAAGAATAAAAATGTAAAAAAAAAAAGAAAGAAAACTCCCCCCCCCTTGACTCCTTGACTGGAATCATTAGTGATGAGGAATATGAACAAAAAGACAATGGAATTTCCCCAATCTCATATCACACTGTGCACTCAGGCTCATATTACACTTGCTTGACTTCTGCCCAAATCCAAAGGTCCCTTTCCATCCGTGTCCCTTCTCACCACCATCTCCAGCTGGTGACGCCTCCTGCCTCCTGGACACTGTGCTCTCCTGTACCGCCACCCCTCCTTCCAATCCCCCTTCCTCTGCTTTTCCCTTTTCCTCTATCCTTGCTCTTTTGCACATGCTCATGGAACTCCATTCCCATGGTTTCTAAGATCCTTTCTGTCATTTTGATTCCCTAAATTTATATTCTGAAGCCTGGATTTTTCAGTACGTTTCAGGATCATAATCTTACAGGAAGAATACAGCCTGTCTGATCTCTTGGTTTCTGAAAACTGAATTACCCCTCCTTCGCACAAAATGTCTACTTAGCCATTTCTTCTGTCCCTCATTGATTTAATAAACATCAAGTGCCAAAAGCATGCCAGTCTCTATGCCAGGCAGTAGAGGTACAGCAAAGGACGCAACACTTATAATCTCAGCCTCTACATAATCCGTTTCTATTTGCTGAAAGAAATAAAAATATTGGCTGTAGAAAATCAAAGGATGACTAAAATGGTGTGGTTCACACCCGCAACAAACGTATACTTAATGCGAAGGCAGATTATAACCACAGCCGATGTGAGATGTGCAGAATATATATTTGAGTCCCACATTTCCAAATAAAGGCCTCTAGAATACCAGTGTGGGTAGAATTAGAAGTCAGGGGTTTTATGTAGCAAAGATAAATGGGCATATTTCATACCAACTCTATGGCCCACTTTCCTTCCGCATAAAGCTATCGAGTCAGCCTTACGAAGTAAGGGATGCAGCCTGTAACATGGTAACAGAAAATCCACATGGTCCATGTGAAGATCAAATCTATAACCTGACCTTGTGGGCCAGGCAGGCACAGTTCTAGGAATACCAAAGGGAAGAGATCACAGTAAGTGAGCACTGACCATAAATGAATGTTGTTTTCTCCTGCTCATCTAATACATAAAAATCTTCAGACTGAGGAACTATAACAGACCACAGAGGCATGATGGGTTACAGCGACTCGTCTATAAGCTGGAAACCAGTTCAGCGTGTTTGGTTGGGGAAGTGATTCATTTATTCTAACTTGTACCCAGACCATAAAGCAGTTACCACAGCCCAAGGAAGAGCAGGCTAGTCCCTGCACTCCCCCCACCTCAAACCCGTCTTTCCCCACATGGTCAACCTGCCCCCCTGCTGAACACTGGATCATCCCTTCTAATTCTGCTTCCATATTCATCATCTCAGGACACAGAATTTCCTGCTCCCCAGCTGTTCAAGTCAGAGATGTAGGAAACATCCTTGACCCGCCTTCGCTCCCATCAATCCCCGACCTCCACATCCCATCCACCACACGTAGTTGATTCTTCCACAGTGGGTGTCAATCTACTTCTTTCTAGCTCTTGAGCCCTAGTCCGATCTAAGCCACAATCATACCTTGCCTGGATTACAACAAACTCCCTAACTGGGTTCTCCGCTTATCCTCATACCCACCAACTGTTTTCCACCACCACCCACAGTAATCCCTATAAAACCGAAGTTGGATTCCCCCGCAATGGCTTCTCATGAAAGTCAGAATAAAGTCCAAACGCCTAACCACAACCACGCGGTGCTGTGACAAACAGGACCCCGCCTACCTCTCTGGTCTCTTCCCCAGTCACTGTGCTCCCATACCAGGAGCTCCACGGTTGCAGCAGAAATGGCCCAGGGCAGAATTACCTTATCTGTTCTGATCACCACCGAATACCCAGAGTCTGGCAGAGTGACTGGCATAGAGTTAGTGCTTAATCAGTTATGTGCCCAAGGACTCCACATGCAATAAGTAAGACTGACTGAAAAGGCTATAATCGGTTCATTTCTAAGTATTTTTCCTACAAACTGGAACCACCTTCCCCACAGAACTATGCATATGAATCCATTTACATTTTAGCTCCAGAACAGTGTTTACAGCATTTATCTTAACTTTATAGAAATAAGCCTCTGATCCATTTAAAATGTATTAATAGGTTGTTTTGCCAGGACTATTTGATT